ATACTGACTGTGTGCTCTGGGGTTACTTGAAAAATGGCAGAGGGGGGATACTCTGCCTGCTGGTGAACCCAGTGTGGAGTCCTGTAGCTAGTGTCCAAAATGTCAAGAGGGGGAACATGTAGGGGCACCTGGGTGGCTCAGTTGGTTAAGCATCCAACTTCAGCTCAGGTCATGACCCTGCGGTTCGTGAGTTTGAGCACCACCTTGGGCTCTCTACTGTCAGTGCACGGCCTGCTTCTGATCCTCTGTTTCCCTCCCTGACCTCGCAGTTTTCTCTCTCTCTCATGCTCTAAAAAAATAAGTAAACGCTAAAAATTTTTTTAGAAATGTCAAGAGAAAGAACATGTCCATTTGGAACCATGTGAGTGTGCTGACACATGAGCACAGGCCTGGAAAGGCAGGAGGTTTACCCATATCCAGAGCTGTGGGTGTAAAGTATAACAGTACCCACTGTTCACATGCACACGCTTGTAAAGTCCTTGCTACCCTGGAACCACCCAATGCCCATGATGGGGTGAGAGAGGCATCAATAGCCCAGGCAGGTCATGTTCCAGCCCCTCCAGCAGCTGCTAAAAGAGATTTATTTGCTGCTTCTAGAACCTGAGCCTCCTCTCTTAAGCTTTCATGTATAAACAGTTGCTCAGTCTATGGGGTAGCACATGCATTCAAGGCCAAGTTTCAAGTGCTGATTCAACAAAGAGACCAGGGGCTCCAGACCTGTCCAGCCCCTAATGGGTCAGAGTGAACCAGGGCCTGACGAATGGGTCCTGACACCATCCAGAAGACAGAGATAAGCTGTTTCTTCTGTACTTTCTGAGATTCCCCAGGACTCAAAATTGAAGTCTGAGAGGGGAGGCACAGGATTTTATTTCAGGGTACCCAAAGTCTGAAAGGAGAGTCCCAAAGTCTGCCCCAGGGAATCCCTGACTTAGAGTTGGGAAAGGTAAGATTCCACTAGAAGCCAGAAAATAAGACTTTGTGTCATATAAAATGTATGGAATGTGTATATATATATATTTTAATTTTTTTAGGGTTTATTTATTTTTGAGAGAGAGAGAGAAACAGAGCATGAGCTGGGGAGGAGCAGAGGGAGAGGGAGACACAGAATCTGTAGCAGGCTCTGGGCCCTGAGCTGTCAGCACAGAGCCCGATGTAGGGCTCGAACCCACAAACTGTGAGATTATGACCCAAGCTGACATTGGACACTTAACCAACTGAGCCACCCAGGCACCCCAGGGTGTAGAAATATTCATTTGAATTTCTGCTTCCCTTATGTATTTTCCAAGAGTTAAGTGGCTTTAACAATATTAAAGAATTCAAGATCCCACCACGTTTCAAGGTCTTTAAAATGATATTTCTTAGGCTCCCATCAAATTCAATATCCTGAGTTAGGAAAAGACAATTAATCTATAATAAAAGCTTATTCACCAGGGTGGCAGTGGTGGATTTCTATTAACAGAAGAATTAGAAAATGTGTATAACTTTTTTAAAAAGTTTATTTATTTTGAGAGAGTGTGTCAGAGGCGCAGAGAGAGGGAGAGAGAGAATCCCAAGCAGTCTTCACACTGGTGGCCCAGAGCCTGACGCAGGGCTCAAACACACAATGGCCAGATCATGACCAGTGAGATTATGATGTGAGCTGAAACCAAGAGTCAGACGCTTAGTCAACTGAGCCACTCAAGCGCCTCAGGAAATGTGTCTAACTTAAATCTAGGGAAGCACGCTAAGTTATCACCTCTTGAAGCTTTTAAATCATTCTCCAAAAAACCATGTAAACATGGTTCAGCATGTGCAATCAGGGTCATAATTAAGAATACAGGCATCAAACTACTAGTAGATAATGTCAACTGCAACCAAAACAGCTATATACGGCCTATGGCCCTTCTAGCTCTGATGACGAACAGTTCAAAAGACTCTGGGGCTGAGCCCTGGACAGTTTCAAGTCTTTCCCCAACAGTTTCCTCCACTACCTGGAGATCAAATTGCTGTCTTTGTCCAAGATGGCAGTCCTAGCCCAAGGCCCTCTGCACCTATGCAGTCTGTCAGGCCAACCCTGGGCTCCGCACTAACACGTCCCTTCCAGCTGGGAAATTAGGTCTACATAAAAGAAATCAGGAGAAAGAATTGTCTTGGATCTAGGTGGATCATGTGGTAGGAAATACTCGATCACGCTTGTACAGATGGGCCCCACAGCCCTGTGGACACCAAGGCACAGCCATATGAAAACTGCCATCAAAACATAGTGAACCTGACTCTTCTGTAAATTGCGTCTAGTTCGTAAAACCCTGAAAGCCTAGAAGGGGTCTGTAATCTTCACCCCCTTCCTCACAGGTATCTTGTGTGATGGTGAACAATGACATAATTGTGGCTCAATGAGTATATAGGCATACATTGTATTTTTACATCCATAGAGTGGGGAGTGATGAGGTAGACCAGCCTCATAGTAAAAAGAACTTAATCTCCCCTATCCTAAAAGCTTGACACTGTGGAGGACCGTGGCTCCCTTTCTTTTCAGAGGTATGCTCACGTTTATTGATAATTTTCCTGTTTACAAAATATAAACTTGGATTACTTTTCAAATTTTATACCATAAGTTTGTTTCCTTGAGAATTCACGGGCCTCCCTCCTGCTGTGGACCCCAACACAATTTTTGGAAAGGGGGAGCAGGGAATCTGAAAGTTGTACCTATTTAAAAAAGAAGACCAACTTCCTCCGTTCTTCCTTTCAGACATATTTCTTTTAGTAAAACGGTAAAAGTCATATTTAAACAACAACAACAATAACATTGAGCTTGTGCTCTGGGAGTGCAATGAATGTCACATTTTCAAAGTACTGTATGGGCAATTTAAGGGGAAAACATGTGGAGATATATAATGATTGGGAGTCCTTATTTTAAGCTCTGCAAGAACCAATATGATTGATTCATTTAGTGTAATTTTATTAATTTAACAATAATAAAAAGTTGTATGGGACTGAAAAGTATGGACAGAAGGGCAAATAAACATGATCAACCCTGAGAGCCTCTGCCAAGGTTTTATTTGTGTGTGTTGGTGGAGAACTGAGGGCTTGAGGCCAGCTCCATTAAGGGACAGACCCGGCTCCCACCCCTAGGCCCAGGGAAATGGGATACTTCTCCGTTCTGAAATGTTGATGAGCTGTGCAGGGGAGAAGGACAAGAGAGCAGATGGAATTCCTGGACAATTGTTCCAGCTGTCACCAGAGAGGACAGGCAGGAGGGAGCACTGGATAATTTACAGAGGAACAGATGCTAAGGCTTCTCCGGAACCATCTGGCCAAGAGAGGCCAGGGCTTGGGGTGGATGTTGTCTTTAGATCTGAGTAAACTTCGGCTTCCAGCCCACCCCATTCTGTCTACCTGAACTGTGGCTTTCCCAAGAGGGCTCTGCTCCCTGAGTACCCACCTCCAGAGTTCCACATGGCTCTCATCTCCCTCTCTCCTTTGCCGAGCCTGGCTTTTGTCTTTCCTACCATTCCTGATAGGGCCAAGTCTGGTCTTGGAGGTCTGTAACTTCCAACCATGCATTTCCCCATTTTGTAGTATTTTCAACCCCTCCTCCCCACCAGGACATTCCAAAATCCCTCTATCACTCCTCTCCATACCATGTATTCATTCAACAAATGTTTATTAAGCACATACTATGCCTTGCATTGTTTCAGACACTGAGGATACAACGATGAACGAGAAAAAGTCCTAGATCTCTGGAGTTTGCATTGTAGCAGGAGATGCTCAATAAACAAATATCAGATAATGAGTGCTGAGAAAGGAAACAGTAAAGCAGGATAATGGTGAGTGACTGGGGATGCTGTTTTAGGTCGAGTGGCCAGGGAAGACTTCTCTAAGACACTGGCATTTGAGCAGAGATACTAATGGGAGTGAATATCTGGAGGAAGAACATTCCAGGCACAGGGAACAGCAAACCTAAAAAGCCCCGAGTATGCTTAGTGCATTCGAGGATGCCATGCTATTTATTCATTAAGCATTTACTGTGTGCCAGGCACCTGCTAGGAAATATGAACATAAAATCGGACACAGTTTTTGCCCTGAAGGAGCAGCAGCTTAGTGATGGATGCACCTTTTAAATAATTATGGCATAGGATAGCTACAATGAAGTTATGTGCAAGTGGCTAGGGATGCCCAGCAAAAGGAACGCCAAATCCAGTCTTGGGGCTTGGGGAAGGCTTTCTGGAGGTTGTGACAATTTGAGCTGAGGGCTATGGGAGTCACAAGACCTGACTAGAATAGGGGAGGAGAGGGCTTGGACCCTTTGAGGGCTTAACGGCCTGAAAACACAGGACAGTTGGGAACCTGAAGTCTCTGGGAGAGGTGGAAAATTAGTCTGATGAAGGGGAAGAGGGTGGGTCACACCGACCTCCGTGCGTGGCAAACTGAGAAGCTGCTTTTATCCATCGGATGACGGGGAACCAGTGCTAATACTATTCCACCATAATTTTGTGTTTTCTCTCTCTCTTTTTTTTCCCCTTTAGTATCAGAATCTTTCCTGACCCTTCCCGCTATTGCCCTACCCTTGACACCTCCTTCCTTCTCCGCCCGCCCGGCCTCTAAACCTTATTCTGAGGAGATCCCCATCTTTCCTCATCACCTGGTGCCCTAATTCCTCATCACGAAGCCACGCCCCTAGCCACGCCCCTGATGACGCGCGGCGCCCTGTGCGTGGGGATTCCCGCGGCCGTGGCCACTACCCGGCCTGCCCCGCGGCAAGATGGCGGCTTGAAGGCAGCGGGCAGCGGCAGAAAGTTTGTTGTGGGGTTGGAGTAGTTGGGTCGGGAGGCTGGAGTTGGGGGGAATCGTAGGAACACTAGCTCGGAGTAGGGGCGGAGGAGGGACTAGCTCCGGGGTTAAGAAGAGGAAATGGAATGGGGGAAGGTAGGAGGCGGAAAGAAATAAAGAGGGAGACGGGCGGAGGGGAGGGGGCCTAGGATCCAGGGGCGGCCCTGGGGGAACGGTCTAGCGCAGGGGAACCAGAAGTAGGCGTGCAGGCCCTGAAGAAGCAGTCACGAATTGGAGGGGACTTTCTTAACCAAGAATTAAGAAAGAAGTCTGGAGCTTGTGGCCGAGGCCCGACTGTACCCGGCCGGTTGGAAAGAAGTCTTCCCCGTGGAGGAGGATAGTGGGGAAGGGGAGAAGAGAGACCTGGAAGATGCTGGGCAGGTTTGGTGAGGAGGGAACGAAAGCCAGTCAGATGACCCTTCTCCAGACTTAGATCAGCCTTTCCAGAGTTCCTATAGCATCTGCCCCAATTTCAGCTGAAGATTCAGGGGTCCCAGGGACTGGAAGAAATCACAGTGCCTGCTTGGAAAGAAGAAGAGATAGCGACTTGCCCCAGCTCAACCCCAGAGCGGGTAAGGTGGCCTCCAGTGACAGGCTGGCATGCTCCTTGCAAGCAGGATGCATGAGTTCAGAGTGATACTAAGAATCATTTAATCTGAAAAGGGCTTTCTTCTGTAGAGGTTACCCTTTGCCCGTAGTCTGTAAATTAGTGTTCTGTTTAGATTGTATGGTGATTTTTGAGAATTGGGTGTAGAATTGAGCCTTGTGTGCCTTCGCCTGTGCGAATGAACATGGTCAGGAGCCAAGAGATCAGGCAGAAAGTACTTTAATACATCCCTGTCACAAGCAGTTTCCTACATGCTCACTGTATGAAACTTTAAGTCTCCCATCACGTCTTCAGTTTGTCGTCCTACCTGAAGTAGAGATTTGTGGTGATGGATGGGGGGCAGGGGGAGTCATGAGAAAAAAAAATCTAATTATGTCCTGTCACCAACTCATGAATTCACTCTTGCTGCAAGTCTACTTTTCATCTTTTTGTAAGAAGGGCTCATTAGTGTTTCCTTTGGGAATGTGGATTTAGTGGGTAGGTGGGGTCAGTGGAGAAGGAAAATCAGGTGGGGATTAGGGAGAAGCCCGGATCAGTTTATGGTAAGGGGTCAAATTGACTTGTATAAGGCTCTGAGAATATTTATTATATCAATCTCTGTCCCTGAGATCCCTGATATTTGAGAGCTGCTTTACAGAATGGATCAGTGTAGTGTTGGAAGGAAAGGATTGTAGAACTTTTCTGATAGTTTTCTTCTCTTCCCTTGTATTTTCCCTGTCAAACCACATAAAAAAAAAAATCAGTTTCACTAACCAAACTAAGCATGCTTAAGAGACGATGGATTTGGGGTTGGAGGAAAGGGAAGGGGTCTGGAGCCACAAAGTGCCATGAATATGGTCCTCACTTCCTTCTGTGCCCTGTGGTTATGCACAAGCCAAGGCTGGGGACAGGTCTTACCAAAGCTTATTTCATGACTGCTATCTGCTGCATGATTGGATTGGGAGGTCTCATTTGATCCAGGACTCCTCACTAAGCATCTCCTACTCCCCCCCACCCACCCCCACCCTGCAAAAAAAAAAAAAAGAAAAAAAAGAAAAGGCTTGCTACAGGCCAACTCAAATACCTTCAGGTATCTGAAGAACTGATGTTATTTAACTGTGACTCTAGAAGGTTGGGAACTTTCTCTAAGGATGATTTGTGGATGCCCCCTTGGGAACTGAGCAGCAAGGACTGTGGTGAGCATAAACATAGAGGTTAAGAGCACTGACTCTGGAGCCAGAATGCCAAGTTCAAATACTGGCTTTGCCATTTGTAGCTCTGTGACCTTTAGAAATTGCATAGCTCAGGGGCCCCCGGGTGGCTTAGTCGGTTAAGCGTCCGACTTTCACTCAGGTCATGATCTTGCGGTTCGTGGGTTCGAGCCCTGCGTCGGGCTCTGTGTTGACTGCCAGCTCAGAGCCTGGAGCCTGTTTCAGAGTCTGTGACTCTCTCTCTCTCTCTCTCTCTCTGACCCTCCCCTGCTCACGCTGTCTCTCTCTCTCTCTCTCTCTGCTAGAAATAAATAAAACATTAAAAAAAAATTAAAAAAAAAAAAGAAATTGCATAGCTCACTATACCTTAGCTTTCTCAGCAATCAGATGGAGATGGTAAGAGTACCCATCTCATAAGGTGACAACCTTAATCTAAATACATTAATGTATTTAGAACAGCGACTGACACCCCGTACATATTTGTTGTTGTTCTGGTCAGATCTCAGTACTAACTTCTGCTTCACGATTGAACCTGGTGTCTCTGTGTGGAGGCCCTGTCCTGGTTTGGGCTGCTGTCTTGATGTTAGAGAAATGGGGCCTAGCTTTTGGATGTAGCGAGATCATCTTCATCAAACTATTTAAAGTGACGTTAAAATACCCATGGTTTCCTGTTTGAAGTTGTGAGGCTTTAGAATTATCTTTGCATTTGAGGGGCGCCTGGGTGGCTTAGTCGGTTAAGCGTCCGACTTTCGCTTAGGTCATGATCTCACGGTTCGTGGGTTCGAGCCCCGCGTCGGGCTCTGTGCTGACTGCCAGCTCAGAGCCTGGGGCCTGTTTCAGTCTGTGACTCCCTCTCTTTCTGACCCTCCCCTGTTCACGCTGTCTCTCTCTCTCTCTCCTAGAAATAAATAAAACATTTAAAAAAAAAAAAAAAAAGAATTATCTTTGCATTTGAGCGATAATAATAGCAGTGCTTACTGAGCACATTCTGTGTGTCTGGCACTGTTGGAAGTGCATTAAATGTATTAACTAATTTGATTTTTATAACGACCCTATGAAGAAAATACTTTCATTGTCCCCATTTTACAGATCAGCAAATAGAGGTGAAGAGTGGTTAATTTGTTTCAGGTCTCTCAGCTAGTAAGGGGCAGAGCTGGGATTTGACTGTCTGGCTTCAGCAATTGAGCTTTTTTGGGGAGTGGGGGTTGGTATGAAGTGAACTGTTTATTAAATATGCCCAGTGGCATTTTGTAGCTTTTGTTTGTCATGATTGTTAGACTGTAGTAAACTTTTTTTTAGTTATTTAAAAAATGTTGTAGATGCTGAGCTCATCACAGCTCTCTCCCCAGAGGTAAAAACCGCTGCAGGGGCTGTGGTGAGGGAGCCTTTGCCTTGTTAGCCAAATCTGGACTCTCTCTTCATGATTCAGCTTTGGTGACTGTCTTTTGGAAAACCTTGGGCCTGGGTTGGGTGAGCAGACTGACATGAGGATCCACTCTTAGCATACCTTAAAGGGGTGTGTGTGTATTCATGTAGACAAAAATAAAAGGCTCATTTCTGACTTTGATTACTGACATGAACAGTTGAAGTAACCATAGTGTTGAATTCATAGACAATCTGGATGTCATCTTTGTTTTAAAAATAGCAGGTAGCAAACTACAGAAAAAAAAAAAGGCGGCACTTTAAATACCCACTCCCTTCCCTCCCTCCCCCCAGCTTGAGGGGAAATGGAAAACAGATGTGCTTCTGCTGAAACTTGTGTAGTTCTGGAAGGTCCTGGCCAGGCTCCTCTCTTTCCTTTCAGCCAAGCTGAAGTCTGGTGTGTAGCCTTGGGGCAGAGGTGTGCCCAAAGCTTGATTGACTGGCTTTTCCTTTGCCCTGCACTTAAGACTCACTCTTCCCCTCCTTCTGAGTCATGTCCTGTCTATTTAATACGCCCTCAGGGCCCATCTTTTTCTTTAGTAAATGACTCTCCACCTTGCCACCAGACTAGGCACGCGCCTGAAGTCTGACCAGATTAGGGCTTTTTCTGGGAATTCTGACCCAGCCCCCAGATGACCTTTTTCTATTGTTATGGCACATCATATTTGGAGTTAGTATCTGTCAGTGTCTGTTCCCGTCCACCATCACCTGAGGAGTCATATATCTCAGGAGAATGTACTTTATCTCGATTTGTGCTGCAGTCAGCATGCTGAAACGTGTAATCTCTATAGAGTACACCTTTGTGTTTTTGTTTTTGTTTTAAGGTTATTTATCTTGAGAGAGACAGCTCCAGTTGGGAAAGGGCAGAGAGGGGAAGAGAGAGAAAGAGAGAGAAAGAAAATCCCAAGCAGGCTCCATGCTGCCATCGCAAAGCCGGAGCCCGACATGCGGCTTGAATTTACGAAACCGCGAGACCATGACCTGAGCAGAAACCAAGAGTCAGATGCTTACCTGACTGAGCCACCCAGGTGTCCCTACACCTTTGTGTTTTGTTAGAAGTCCTCAGACTTTCTGGATTCAGATCTCATTTTTGCAAATGAATGAACTGCGGTGTGAAGGTTGATAAGATTTGGAGCCAGTTCTCTGCCTTTACTGTTCTGGTTTTGTCACTCTTAAAGTCACTTTCTTCTCTTAAGACCCCTTAATCATGTGTAATCTTTGCATCTAATCCCTTTACCTTATTCTCACCACCATGTTTTGAGTGCTGAGGATGTCTGGGTAAAACAGGTTTTTGTTTCTCACCTGGATTCAGCCTCTTAACAGCTCTCTGAACCTGTTCTCTCTAGCTTCTGGGCCTTTGCACATGCTGGCCCTTCTGGGATGCATTCCCCCTCCACCCTTCACCTACCTCTTTGTCCTTTAGACAAATGTCACTTTGTATGGGGAGCCTCACTCCTTTCCTGCCTTTCTTCTGTGCTTGTGTTTTAACACTTAGGCTGCGTTATGATTGTCTGTTTACTTGTCTGACTCTCACCAGGCTGTGAGTGTCCTGACCACAGAGACTAGGTCTTATTCATTATTGTATTCTACCATTTAGAATAGTGTGGGGCACTTAATAGGCGCTTTACAGTATGGTGGAGCACAGAGAATGAATGAAATGTGGCGGCCAGTCTTAGCTTCCAAGCTGCTGTGAGAATTATTTTCCTGTGAAAAACAATGTTCTGTTCCCTTAAAATGCCATGGTTTCTGCCTTGTCTAGGATAAAGTCCACACTCTACCTCAGCATGCAGGAAGGTTGTTTACACTCTGGCCCAGACTCCAGCTTCTGGCCTGGATGCTGTCACCTCCACTTCTGTCCTGTGCTTCATTGCTCCTAAATGTCCCACTGCTCCTGGGCCTGTTATGGCCATCGTTTACTTTATTCTTCTTTGCTTGTGCATTTCGCTCCCTCCATAATGCTCACTGTCTCCAAAACTCTGCTTATCCCCTAAGGCTGGCCCAGCGCCTGTGTAACCTCCAATGAGAAGACTTCCTGCTTTCCTTTCTTTCTCTTGGCCCCCACAGCACTTTGTGTGAGCAGTGTCAGTTCTGGCATAAGCTATGTTGTGTAGTAATTTCTCTGTTTATTTGTTGGCCTCTGTCACCGAGCTGACCCTCTGTAGAGGAGGGTCCCTCCCTGATCATGGGATGAGGGAGAGGGGTGGGAAACAGTCTGACTTCTGAGGAAGGCCTGGTTTAAATCTTGATTCTGGCACTTACCAGCTGTGTGACTTCGGCAAGTTGCTTGACTGATAGGATTCTTGGTATCGTCCCCTATAAAATGAGGGTGACATTATCTTTTTTGTAGGAGTATTGAGCATGTAGCCTAGGGCCTGTCATGTGAAGGATACTCAGTATTTGTTGAATAAATGAATGCCATTTTGGAAAACACAACGGATAAGCAAAGGCTTTGTTTTATTCAAGCTAGAATCAGCCTTTTGGTTTCTGCCAGGTAGCCAGGAGCATTTTGAGGTGGGAGTAAAATTGAGAGAGTCTCCGTTCCTGTGATGAAGCAATAATAAAAGGTGAGGTTGGGGACATCATCAATGAGTAGCCTGTGCAAAAACAGTTGGTGCTTCTCTCCATCTTTTGTGTTTGTAATTGTTCCTCTGATGGGTCACCTTTACACGTGAATTGGTGGTGACCTTGGTGGATACAGGTGGGGGTGGGTAGGTGGTAGATTTGTAATGTAGTTAAGTCTGTGGATGACTGGATGGGCTGTTTAAGGAATTCATGTTCCCTGGTATTTTATGGATTGAAAAATATTGGATGAAGCTGGTAGAACACGTCTAGGTATTCAGGAAGCTAGACGTCTTGGCCCTAGTTTTCTTAGGGCTTTGATGATCTTGTTTCACAGAACAGGCTTAACTCAGATGCTCCCCAGAAACAGGACTGGTAGCTGGGAGTTCACTGTCCCTTCTTTTTGCCTTTTTGTTTTTAGTGTAGTTCATGGGGGTAGTTCTTAGGGCACCAGTTCCCAACAAACACCAAAGGAGTGTGTTTCCAGAGGTCTAGACCTCTTCATTGTGTAATGCCAGGTGGCGCTCCAGTGTGAGTTTATAAGGGCAGCCTTCTTGGCTGGTCCTTGAACCCCTGCCGCAGCCAGGAGTCTCTCCTCCAGGCTCTCCAAGGCGTACACACTGTAATACAAGTGGCCGTTAACCTGTCTCTCCCCCACTTGGGGTAAGATCTTTCATCTCGGAAGCCTCTTAGGGGCCCTATGTAGTAGGTACTGAGCAGTCCTGGTTATTGTGTGACCCAAACCCTCCCTCCTTCTTGAAACAGAAAGCAGATAGGATCCATCTGGCAAAACCCTTTGAACTCTTAGGAAGGAAGGTCCTGCATAAACAAAAGGTAATAGTATTAGCAATAGCATTACTAATTATTTTCCAAAGTTAAGTTAATGTAGTTAAACCATCTTCCAGGTGCTTGGCTTCAGCTTTCTCCCTTTTCAGCCTTATATTCTTTTTTTTAGCCTTGTTATCTTCTAATAACACATCCAGCAGGAAAGGTTAAAAGCAGAGGTGAAGTAGCTCCAGTATATTTTCTTGCTAATCACTATTTTCTAAAGGCTGGCTGCCCGCATCCTCTTTGTTATTCATTAAGCTCCTATTCGTGCCCCATAACCTGCTTGCTTTTCTGGCTGTATTGCTCGTACTGTCCAGGTGTGCTCCACACTCACAGCCAGGGCCTACTACGACCTTGTTAATGCCTAGACCAATCAGAAGGATGAGACCTGTAGCTGAAAGTGGAGGGACAGGGCTTTCCGCGGGCTCACTCCTTGTCCCTCAGTGTGGGAGTGCACATTGCAGTGTGGCACCTCTTCGCTGATGGCATCTCGGCAGGGCCGGTAGGCAGCATCGTATGTTTGGCAGATTTGAGAGGAGATTGGGCGAGCCAGCAGGACTGGCTTGTGCTGTGTGCTTTTAGGCTTCAAAGAGGCTGAGTCTCCTGGACTGGCCATGAGTGGGAGAGTGGGACCTCTTCTTTGTTAGTTACTATCTCATAGGTGCCGGCTGTCTAACATTTGGCATCTGTAAAGGACGTGCCGCCTATTTGTGAAGAGCTTCTGTGTTTTCCCAGTGAACCGTGGGGGGAACTCCCTGAGGGCAGGGGCCACCTGGTGGGAAGCAGACTAGATGGTGCTAGCCTTGCGGTGCCCTTCGCTCAGGTGATGGTAGGATCAAACGCTGGGCTGGCAATTTTGGGTACTGAACCTCTTTTTACCCTCACAGGTGAGTGAGCCCATGGGGACTTCAGTCTCAGAAGCCTTTCCATCAGGGCAGAATTGTCATGGCTTTCCTCTGGCTCCCTAGAGGAGGGAGCTTTGCCCTGGGATTGGACACAGAGCGTTCTCTTCCAGTTCTGTCTGTGGTCTTGGGGAAGTCACGTGTCCTTTCCCTTCAGAATGGAAGAACGCCACTTGTTCTGTGGGCCTCACTAGGCCACAAGGATCAAAGGACGTGTGATGGAAAGGGAAGCGTTTTCGGGATGGTAAAAACACATGGCAGATGGAGGGGTTTGTCCTGTTTGTCTAGGAATTCTGTGTTTTCACCACAAGCATATGTCCTTGTAGAAAACACCAACCATATGGACAAATATACCAAAAAAGTAAAAGGACCCTCTCTCCCTTCCCCCAGGCTCCTGTCTAAGCCCCTTTCCCAGAGACCAGGAGCTATCATGTATCCTTCTGATCATTTTTGTGTGCTTCTAGACATTCCTCATCTTGTATCTTTTGTAAAATAAACAAGACTCAATAGCGGTACATGCTGTTCTTCAGCTTGCTCTGCTCACCTAACAAGTTGGGGAGGAGGGTGCGCTCCCACCCCCACCCCCAGCCCCTTGTTGTAGCCTCCTTCCCAGCATGGGGCCTTTCTCTGGGGCTGGCTCCTTGGAAGGGGCAGAGAATCTTCCCTAGAGGTTCTCTCCACAGCAGGCCCCCTGGTTATCTGAGGGGTTGTTTTTTATTCTGAGGTGAAGTCGTCTGGCAGGAGTGCCCTTGAGTGGGAATCGGGATGGTTATAAACTTGGCATGGGCCTCACCACTTCTGTCTCCCTGTGTTTCTCCCCTTCACTCTTCTGTTATCTGTGGCTGCGAAGAGTGTAAATGTACCTGATTTCTCAAGCTCTGTTTCAATGCAGAGAGCGTCCTGGTTTCTGGAACTTTGAGTTTCCTCGGATTTTCGCTGCTCTGTGTTTTGAAATCAAGCCAGACCCAGCTGGTGTTTTTTGGTCTTATTTGTGGGTGAGGATTCTGAAGGTAGCCTGTCAACGGCCATGCATTCATTCTTCCCAGTCTAGGGAAGAGGTCAGAGCCTACAGGAAGTTGTCTTCTCTTCTGGATGGTTATCTCCCCCTCTGTGGTCAGGCCTTAGCCTTTGGAGCTCCTGAGCTATTGTCAGAGTAACACAGGGAGCCCAAGGAGTTGGCAGTTGGGAATGATTAACCGGAGCTTGGGAGAAGGGCCAGGCCCGTAAGTGGCACCAGGGTGGTCGCTGTTCTCCTCTGCCCTGAGTCATCTCATCATCTGCAGGGCTTTCCTGACAGAAGGGGAATCCTGCTTTTCCTCGCCAACATGCTGCCCTTCTCCGTAAGCACAGTGTTTCCTGATACATTTGCTGTAGCTTTCCTCTCCTGCTGCTGCATGGGTCACATCTTGTGGGGTTCGGGGACTCCAGTACTATAGCTCCGTCTTCCCTGACATCTCTAAGCCAAGGAGTGTCACTTCCCCTCGGGTGGTTCTGGAGGCTTCAGGAAGGGTGTTTTCTGCTGTTTCCTGGACTTGGCTGTGATGGGAACACTAGCCTCTCTGGGCATTGCTCGTTCTGAGCAGGTGGAATAGTCGCTGTTGGAGTCCAAGGAGCCCGGCTGCGGCACAGCCTTCCTTTATCCTTGCTCTGTGGGTTTCTCTGGGGCCGGCTCCCTGAGAAGCGCCATTCCCCCGGTGCTTTCAGAAACTGAAAGGTGGCAGCGTGCCACCCCTTGCCTTGGCTGGCCCAGCTCTGGGCCCGGTCATACACTGCCCCATTGTACTGTGCGTTCGATGCAGCTCTTGTTGCAGCCTCTGACCCCTGGGCCAGTTCTGTCTTGGCCCCTTTCCTCGGAGCCTGTGGGGCATGGTGGGGTGGACTGTGCTGCCACAGGCATGGGATGGGCGGCAGCTGCAGCTGTGGCTGGCTTTGTCCTGACACCCCATCTTTCGGGGCTGGGCAGCCTGGCAGCCATGTCCGGGGAAGAGGCAAGACGGAAGCTCCCCCTACGCCCACCCCTGCAGTAGTGCCCCCTTCCACCAGAGCTCTCGTCTCTTTCTGTTGACCAACCAGAAAGCCCTCTTACCTGGGGTCAGCAGCTAGGACTCCCTGGTTGGCAGAGGGCGGGGTGCACTCCCAGCTGGCATGGTTTTTGGATGGGAGAAAGTCCCTGGGGCTCCAGTGGTAAGTCAGCAGGAGCCTCCCCTGTCGGAGGAAGAGTGCAGTGTGTCCCCTCTGGCATCTCGCAGCTGGGCATCCTTTTGCTCTCTCTTTGCAGCTCCGGAGTTGGGCTGCTCTCAACCAAGCTGTCTGTTTATATGGAGTGCCTGGAAGGCGTCTGCCATGAGTCTGTCGCTAACCGTGCTAACCAGGAGAGCTGGCTGGTTGGGGAGAAGACACTAACCCTGTGAGTCTGATCTGGGCCAGCTAACCTACCCTGGGGGTACCACCAGCAGCGCCTCTCACCCCTCCTCCCCCTAGCCTGGGTGCCTCCTCCCCTTAGCTTACCTCATGCCACCTCCTCTGCTCTCTTGTCCTTACTGCTGGGTTCCCTCCATCTTCCCAAGTCTCCTTGCCATAGGTGGGGACGTGCCCCCTCTAAGGCCAGAAGAGGGGGCTTTCCTATGCACAGACACCTGCCAGCCTGCTGCTGGCTCCTGCGCACCTCACGCTCCCCTCAGTCACCACCGCACTGCCCAGGTCTCCCTTAAAACAGAATTGGTTAGAGTTTCTGTTCAATCTGCTTTAAGCATTATGGAATTTGAGAACATTGCGCTGTTACCACGCTGTTTGCACACCTCAGAGCTAGGTGGCGCTAGAGTGGGAGGGGAATTTTCTTCTCCACTGGATAGTTGCTTCCCTTTGTCAAACGGGGAAGAATGAATGGTGTCCCCGTTATTCTCACCCCAGGATAATAATTTAGGGCCAGTTGCAAGGTTCTCCTCAAAGTTGGGGTGTTGAGGAAAACTGCAGCCTGGCTGCAAGAAATTCCCTGGGCAGAGAGTGAAGCTACTTAGGCCTAAAAGCTGGAGCCCAGAACCAGGTACCCACCTGAGATAGAGCTCATGGTGCCTGTTGCTCCGGCAGGTGGAGTGGGTGGAGTCAGGCTCCCCACCACCTTTCACATGTCGAGCTTCAGGTGGACTTTAACCGAGAAGAGCTGCAAGGGCACCTCAGCTACGACAGGCGGGCCCTGGCTTTGGACTCCGCAGTGGGCTTGGGACTGGGAGAAGCCTTGGCCTCAGACTGGGAGGCTGGTGAACAGCTTGCCGTGGAGAAGCTCCCAGCAGACTGCCTTCCAGGTTTGGAAAGAAGGGCGCTCTGGGGATAGCAGGGAGGCCGAGTGCTCGGGGCTCCCTGGTGTTCTGCACAGGGAGCTCCTTAGATAGCCTCTCTGGCTGCAGCCTCTGGAGGCAGAGCAGTAGGGGTAGACCGAGTGGGGGAACTTGGGATCCGAGGACCCTCCAGGTAGGCTCTGTTCCCCTTGGGTCAGGAGGGAGAAGCAGGGAGCTTCCTGCTAGTATGAGGTGGGAATGTGTAAACGTGAGAGGGTATAGGTGCTGCACAGATGTGTAGGGACCCTAAGTGGGGTGCCTGGTGGCCGGGCTGACCAGGAAAACAAAGGGTGGTTCAGGACCACCCCTTACATTGCCTTTCCTGAGGTGAGGGCTTGGGGACTTCTTATCAAGTACTGGTTGATTTGTGGGACTTTGTGGAAATCCCTTTACTTAGGGGGAGGTTGCTTGGATCATCATCAACAGTTGTCTTCAGCTCCTTTGTTCTGTCAGGTGTTTGCTCGAATGCGAGGCCAGCTGGATAGACTTGAGGTATTTGCTCAGGTGGGAGCCAGGTGAGCGCTTGCAGGTCCCCGGCACTGGTTTGGAGTCCTCAGGATTACTCTGGGGCAGAATAATTCCCCTCCATTTTGGTTTTTAAAAACCTGTCTATCAATTCCGTTTAGAGCAGGCAGAGGGCCAGGTCAGGGCCGCAGGCAGCTTGTCCCAAGAGGGTGAGGTTGTACTTGCTCAGAAGGGTGGTAGGCATGGCTGTTGGAGGGGCATCAGGGCTGGTCTGGGCACAGACTGGCATCTCTCAGCCTAGTCATCGGCCCAGAGCGGAGCCTGCCCAGGCCCCACCCCATGCTCTGCTGGCTGCTTGCCTGCCACGCGCCCAGGATTGCTGAGGGCTTTGCTCATGGACCTCAGGAACAGCTGCATGCCGGAAACTGGGGGCTGGTAGCAAGTAGGAGGGGCACCCAGGGGTTGATGTAGAGAGGGCTGAACCCAGCCAGCTTCGGTGGGATCAGCTGAGCTGGGAGACTGACAGTCAGGGTCGGGAGGGGCTGTGTTAATAGGGTGGGAGAACCCTTGTGAGTAATCTCCAGGGCCTCTGCTGGGTCACCTGGCTACTGGGCCCGGCCCTTGCAGATGGGGGTTTGTGTTTCTTGAGCCTCATTTGGATACAGACCCTGAATTTCAGGGGCTTGAGAAGCAGCCAGACTTGTATGGTGGGAGTGTGTCCTGCCCCCAGAGGCGCAGTTTCCTCCAGAGTTCAGATATTCTATATCCAGGGCTTCTAGCTAAGGACGATTCCCACAGAGGAGACTCTAGTCCCTGTGTGATCAGACATTCATGTGGTAGCCATTGAGGAGGGGCTTTAGGAAGGGCCTGTGTTTATTTTTATTACTTATTTGTGTCCTGCTGGGTTCCATGGGAATTAAGGAAGCATAAAACACAGCTGGAATGTTCTGGAAAAGGGCCAGTTTCCTTTTCTTCTAAAAGCAGTAGTGATTGCTAATGAGTGATTCTCTGTTTGACTTTCTTCAGGTGAATTATGAAGAAGAGTTTTAATGTTTTTAGTGGTGATGTGTGGCCCCTCTCTGATGGTCCCTCATTTGCTTGAGTCAATGACAGCTGTGGAGAAAGGACTATTGGTAGGTTCGGAAATGGTCTGAGCCCAGATAAACTGTTGGGGCCATAATTTCTTACGGAGAGTGTGGGTGATGTGGGGAGCAGGGGAGGCGGTCGGTCTCTCTAGGGCAGGGCAAGTGAATAGGGAGGGTGGAGGGAGGTAGCAATGCAGAGCCTGGGGAGCTGGACGAGATGTCCATGGGGGCAGGCTCAAGTTTGAAAAGCCAAAGAGTCACACCCATTTTGGTTTCACTCCTTCAGCAGGGAGAAAGCTGGATGCTCGGGCCTCCCTTCCTCTCCTGCACCTTTGACTTTGCCCTGGGCAGACCCGCAGAAAAGATGGCAGAAGGAAGTGAGAGGGCGTCCTTGACTCTTGGGCTTGAACCTTCTTGCCTTTGCCTACTGTGGGTGTCTGCAGAGAGTGGGAGTGAGGATATGGTTTGGAGGAAGTCAGGATTCTAAAGGTTTCTCCTTATCCTACTCCATCTCCAGCAGCAGTGACCCCTAACCGTGGTGGAAGCCCCGGGTCACATACGGGCACTTACCCATGAAAGGACGCAGGTGTGAGTCCCATCTCCTGGTTTAAAGAGTGATGCTTGGCCGATTTTTTGGTCCTTTGATTAAAGGATACCGCTCAGCCAGCGTCTGGCACACATTTCTCCGTATATCTGCTCCCGACTATACTCTCTGCTCAGCTGTTTAGGGGGTTCACAGTGCAGATTTGCTGTGCGTGCCGAGTCCCATTTCTAATGAAAGTAGACTTTGTTCTCTGGAGGCAGCTAATCGTGCCCCATGGGCTATAATCAGGGAGAAGGTATTTAACACAGGGCAGGCGGCAACAGGCGGCCAGCACTGACTGGCAGATTGCAACATGGCAATTAGGAAGCTCTCCACCCCCCTTTCCACCCCTGCGGAGCCAGGCTGAGTCTCTCTGAACGGAGTTTGAGTGAGTGAAGAATGAATGCTATGCAGGGGAGGAAGGGGGAGGCAGGGCTAGGTGGGGCGGGGGTGTGAGGAGAGCAGCTTCCCCGGGGCACAGAACCACTGCCATGGGTGTCTCCCTCCCACAGTGCCTGAGGAGCCCTGGACCACACTGGGGGTCAGCCAGGGGTTTTAACCTAGGCCTCAGCCTTTCTAGCCGCTCGGCTGTTGGTAGTACAAACCCGGCACGTGATCTGGTAGCCCTACATCCCCAGTCCTCTGCCCCCAGTTCCTTGAAGCTCATGTGGTTTGGGCTGAGGGTTGGGAGTGGGCTTCTTTTCAGTTTCTAGACTTTCCAAAGGACCATTTTCTTGGAGGTGCCCTGGAACCAGCCCAGCAGCTAGAGGCCAGGAGACCCCAAAGGCTGCTTGCTTGCTTATCATGGCCTGTATCTCATTCCGAGTTATCTGGCTACTTCCCCTGGAGACTTCCTCTTCTTAACATGGGATTGGGAAATCCTCCTTGGGCTGAAACACTCCAAGGCAACCTGGGAATCTTTGGGTGAAGGAGACGTGACCAGTGGAGGCCGAAACCGGTAGCTGGGGCTTCCTGGCGGGGCTGCTCTGCTGTCTTGCAGCTCACCTTTTATCTTCCCCTGGCCATCGGCCTGGTGTCCAGCTGCTGCTTGCTTTGTTCTCCGGTGCACCTGGCATTGCTCTCACTCTAGGGTCTGTCCTTCTGTGCCATGCTCCCAATCAAGGACAGCGGCCTGTCAGCCCCTTTGCATTCCTGTTCAGTGATGGAATTGTTCCCCCACCCCCACCCCCGGTTGCTGCCGTGGGCCCCAACACGTACTGGTATTTATGAATGTGGGGCAGGGAGTGAGACAGACTCTTCTTCGTGGGCTAGTGTTCGGGACACTGAAGGCTCCCTAGCAGACTGTTTCCCCCGTGGGCATTGCCTTCTGCTTCCCCAGTCGGGAGTGGCTCCCTTCCTTGTAGCCCTGATGTGTATGAAAAGAGCACGCTCGTGGTGCCTAGGTGGCCCAGTTGGTTAAGTGTCCGACTTCAGCTCAGGTTATGATCTCACGGTTCATGGAGCCCCGCTTTGGGCTCTGTGCTGACAGCTAGCTCAGAACCTGGAGCCTGCTCCCGATTCTGTATCTCCCTCTCTCTCTCTCTGACCCTCCCCTGCTCACACTGTCTCTCTCTCTCTCTCTCAGAAATAAATAAAAAAACATTAAAATAAAAAAAATAAAAAGAAAAGAGCAGGCTCTGGCCAGGAGAGAGAACTGCTTGCCATTGCTGGCACCACTCATCCTGGAGCACGGGTGTTTGTGGTACTCCCTGTCTCCCTGCCAGGCCACTTCCACGCTGTCTGTCCCCGCAGCAAGCCGGGTTATCCAGCCAGGAAAGCCCTGGGAGTATGTGCTGTGGGGCCAGGAATGGGGACTTGAGGTCAAGATGAGGCAGGATGTGTGACAAGTAGAGCTAGGGCCGTGGGCTGTGGAGTAAAGGCCTTTCTCCTTCCAGGAAAGATCCCCAGAGCGCTGTCATTTTGCTTCCTGCCTGCCCCACCTGCCACCCAGTCAGGTGTCCTGGTCCTAGAGGCCAGTGTGGGTATTGGTATGATTAGGGCTAAGGAAGGAAAGGAGAGGCTGAGAATGGAGGGGGTCCACAGCATGGCCTGCAGCTGTGGGGTGCAGATGGGGAAAGGAGCAGGCCCAACTCTGGAGTCTCCCTCCCTGGATTTCGCAGAGGTTCTTGGCTACCTGTATCTATTACTCTGTGTCTTTGGCTGTCCCCTTTTCTAACTCATGTACCCCACACTTACACTGCCTGAGTATCAGTACCCAGGTATCCAGGATGGCTTGGGACCTTCTGGGCCTCTCCCTCAGGCCGTAGGAGCTCCCACCCTGGGGCCCTCAGGAGGGTAGCCCCGGGGAACCTGCGGGGGTGTCTTGTTTGCTCCCCCACACCCCAGGAATGTGCTGTCCTTTTGGGCCCGCCCGGATTCCTGTGCAGGGAGTCAGCCCGACACAGCAGGCTGCTTGTGCCCTGTGGGGACATGTCCGCCTCACCATCAAAGGGGCGGAGGTTGGCGACTCGTGCCTGCTGCCATGCCCCAGCTCCCCCCAGAACCCCAGTCAGAGACCAGGCTGCCCAGACAGAGGAGGGTGGCCACTCCTGCTGCCCCGCCCTCCCTACCCCCTCACTGTTCTTCCTGCCTCAGGCTCTGTTGGAATGTGACAGGAGTCGGGGCCAGGGCATGTCCCGACAGCAGAACACACGCTTTAGCCCGCAAGGCTTCCCTCAGCCCCCAGCTCTATTTATGTGGATGGTGGCGGGAAGATTGTTTATGCCCAGAAGGCCACCTGAGGTTACTGCCTCTGTTGGTCCCTGTGGTGGCTGCTGCCCCCGTGCTGCGGCCCTGCTTATTACAGGTGGGGGAAGGGCTCGGCACTCCCATGACCCTGGACGGGGCCTCACGTGTTGCTCAGTCTAGCCACCTCAGTGTGGAAGAGAAACCAGTGACCGAAGTACCGTAGCCTGGAGTCCAGTGTCTCAGCTCCACAGAGTTTCTCAGCCTGGGTGCTGCCAACACTGTGTGCTGAGATTTCTTCATCATGGGGTGGGGGTGGGGGGCTGTCCTTTGTGTTACAGGATGTTTAGCAGCATCCCTGGCCTCTACCCACTAGATGCCAGTTAGCGCCCCCACCATTGTGACAGCCATTCAGACATTGCCAGGTATCTGGGAGGAGCGGGTGAATGAGGGGGTGGGGGACACCAAAATCTCCTTGTTGAGATTGCTCAATCATTGCTCTAATTCAGAATTCTAATTAGATTCTAATTCTAGTCATTGCTTCTTTTTCAGAATTTTCTCCTGCGCCTCCCCTCCTTTGTTGCAAAGTCTGTTTACCATCATTACACACAGAAGCAGTCTTTGGGCTCCTGGGAAAGTGCTAGGAACTTTCCCCTGCACCTTCTTGGTTTCTGCTAGGCTTTTGCCTGGTGTTCTCTTCTGCAAGCCATGCTCCCCGATTCTCTTAGTTTCCAGACCCTGAGAGGCCTGAGAGATGAACAGGACAGGTGTGGGGTAGGATAGGGACAGAACAGGATCGGACCTATTCCTGAGTCAGGCATGTGGCAAGCTGAGACCACGAACACATACAAGACACATAATGTGTCTTGTGTGGGCCTGTGACAGTGCTTTCACGGAGAAAGGAGCCCCGTGCTTCCAGTCCTCTCCTGCTTCCTCTGCTTTTTCCAATGCTCCTGGTCCATGCCTTTTCTGCCTGGCTCTCCCTGGGGGCCTTCCAGGTCCGGGACTAGGTAGGTCAGCCTGTGGCCCTGACAGACACGCGGCTGACACCTGGTTTCCACTTTCTTCTCTTCTCCGGTTTCAGGAGCTGTTGGCTAGAGGAAGTGGAGGGGCCGTGGGATGCGGAGAGCTGAGGGCTAACTCTGGGACAGCGGAACAGAGAGAGCTGCCGACCGTCAGACGGTATGTCCCTGTGAGACCTGCCCTCCCCCCCACCCCCCGGTCCCAGGGCTCCCTTCCTGGGAGGCTGGGAGGTGAGGGACAGACAGGTGGCCTCTCTTGGTGGGGGCTGGTGAAAAGAGAATGGTGGAGGCCAGAGAGGATTGGCCTTCAGGGCTCTCAAGCTTGGAGACCCCACTGAGGAGACTGGGTTGGGGAGCATCCTCAAATCCTTACTTTCTGGTTACTGGTGTTTTGTTTTGTTTTGTTTTGTTGAGCTAACACGAACATTTCCTAAGTGCCAGGTAACTATAAAAAACGTAGTGGCTTATATAATCTTCACAGAAGGTCTGTGAATATGCTGCTCTCCTCATCCCCAATTTAGAGTTGGGGAAACCGATTCATAGGGAACAGTTTTTCCCTCCGAGGCATTTTTATAAGCCCACTAAGGTGAGCCGTGGGCCACTCGTAGATACACCGTCCCACTGCTAGACCAGAATCCACTCGTCCTATGCCCAGAACCTTAGGCCTGCCTTTCCCACGCACCTGGTGCATTGGGCCCTTGTCCCCTCCAGCACTCCCCTGACCCTTGGACACTGAGATACCAAAGTCCAGGTTTCTGTTGATCCCCATAATGGCCCAGTCCTATCTGCCTGCCTGGTGGCTCCTGCATACATCCCCTTCACTGTCCTTTTTTTCCTCAGTCCAGAGGCCTCTTGCTCCTGTCTGAGCCTCCTACTTCCTTGCTTCCCCTCAGCAGGTTGAGAAGCCCTCACCTCCCAGAATGACCAGCGCAGCCCCTGCTAAGAAACCGTACCGTAAGGCCCCACCTGAGCATCGTGAGTTGCGGCTGGAGGTTCCTGGATCCCAGCTGGAGCAGGAGGTCAGAAGATGCAGGCCCGGAGGCTACATGTCTGAGTGACTTCTCCCGCCTGACAGGATTTTGGTCCCCCGAGTTGGGGTGTGGGTGTGGCACTGCTGATACCCATTTGGGGTCTCCTAGCTGCAGCACTGCTGGTGGGGGCAATGTAGGCCCCTATAAGGGGACAACTGTGAGTACATGTCCCCATGTCAGGGAACCCAGAGTCTCTGTGCCTCAGCAGAAGCGATCCCAGGCAGTATCATTCTTCCTGCCAGAGGCAGCCCACCGGACTGAGGGGTCCTAACTCACCGGAGGCTGGGACTCTGTGGAGGAGGTTGTGCTCTGGCTTCTTCCCCACAGACCAGCTGTTCTTTGCTGTCCCCGGAAGTCCCGGCCCTTCCTCCAGCTTTGCCTTGTTCGGCTAACATTTGTTAAATACATGCTCCCAGCCAGGAACTGTGTTAGGTTCTTGGGAGGCTTTCTTCAGGCAACTGCAAAACATTCTCCAAATAGGCCGTCCTCCCTCATTCAGCTTAGTCTCAGGAGGAATGGGAGCCTGCAGTTTATGTACCTTGCTACTGTGTTTCCTCCCTGTTACACCACATGGAGCACATTCACAGTACTTGAGAGATATCATACATGCATACATCAGGCATACCATGACCCACTTTGGTCAGATTCAGGGCAGGAATGCTGTGACTTGCCTGTTTTCAGTTCAGGGAACACTAAATAAAAAGGCCAGGTATTGTGCTAGGTACCACCCAGTGGGCATTCCCTTGGTTTTGTGGATGAGGACCCTAAGGCTCAGCAAGGCTGTTATAAGCAGAGTATGGCAGAATAGGATCAGATCCAGGTGTCATTGGCTCCGAAGTCCATGGTCTGGGCCACCCCCTCACTTTCCTGCCTGGGATTGGCATTTGGCAGCAGTCTGCTCCATTTGGAGTGGGCTGCTTGACATTTCGCCGCTCTGTGGCTGGTTGAGCTCTGGCTCTTAAGCCATAACCATCGTGGGGGCTTGGGGAGCACGGGGCCAGAGGTGAAATGTAGGATAAGGGTGAGACTCTTTACTCCTCCCCGTCAGGCCTGGCCCAAAGGCTATCCTTCACCCATGTACTTGTTCCTCCAGGGCCTCTGTAAGGGCCTGATTCTGCCCCATCTTCCCCCAGGGGCCAGGAGGGCTTTGCTACTGCTCAGCACCCTACTGTAGCTTGCCCGACTAATTCACTTCTCTGGAAGGTCTCCGCCATGCCTGCAGGGCCCACTGGGAGCCCAGTGAACAGCTGACAGACCCTGTCTATACCTGGGAGATATGCCAGGGGTACCAGGACTCATTTGCAGCCTGCTCTAGAATTATAAGGGGGGGCTGGAAGTGGTGTGGGTAAGGGTAAAGGTTGGAAGGGGTTCTTGAACCTTCTGGTTGGCATGGCAGAGAGTAGTCTAGGCTCGTCCGGGTGATACTGGATTGCCTCCATCTCCTCGGGGCCCACTTTTGTGAGATTGTTTGGGCTTCGGACACGGCCCTTCCCAGGTCTCTTTGGAGGGTGGGCAAGCAGGGTGAGGAAGCAGGGTGGGTCAGTGGTCTAGGGCTGAGCCTCAAGCTTCTGTTCTTTTGTGCACAGGAACCCCTGACTGATGCAGAGAGGATGAAGTGAGTATCTGCTGCCCGAGAGCCTGCCCTGCTTTGCCTCAGCACTTCCCTCTTAGCTCCAGGCAAGGCTGTTGGTACAGGCGGGCTTTTCATTGGATTAGGTAGAAGTGAAGGTTGGGATGGAGCCTTAGGGACTCTGGGAGGAGGATGGATGTGGGTATTCCTTCTGGAAAGAGTTTTTGATGCATGGACTCCAAGGGAACCTGCAATCCAAGGTGCTCTGAGGGGCCTGCTCTTGCCAAAGAGCCTTGCCCCGGCCCCTGGCCCTTTGGTGCCAGCTGGCTCCCCGCAGCCCTTTCTGTCAGCCATGTGAGGCCTTTGGAGAGGAGGGCAGTGCTGGGCTGCATTTCCAGGAGATTAATAATGGAGCAGCCTGATTGTGCAGTGGGGAAACTGGAGCTGCAAGGCTTGGTGGCCGGCTGGCTTGGGCTGTAACCAGAGACAGACTGGGAACTCCACCCCTCATACAAATTCTGTCTTCTCATTCTTCTTCTGGGGTGGAGGTGGATTCTACCATCCCCTCTGCTTCTACCCCTGCCCCCGAGCCAGGCTGTGCTCTCCGGGCCAGCAGGCCTGTGGGATATGCCACCCCAGACTCAGTCGCAAGGAGTCCCTTGTCCCCAGTTGCCTATGCTCATGTCATCCCTACTCCTTCCTACCTGAGCCCAGCCTGGGGCTCCAGGGCTGGCCCGTCTACCTCTGATGCCCCTCTGCCCTTACCCCCTCACCCTACCAGGCTCTTACAGCAGGAGAACGAGGAGCTCCGCCGGCGCCTGGCCTCGGCCACCAGGCGCACCGAGGCCCTTGAGCGCGAGCTGGAGATCGGGCAGGACTGCTTGGAGCTGGAGCTGGGCCAGAGCCGTGAGGAGCTGGACAAATTTAAGGACAAGTTCCGCAGGTGTGGAAATGAGGGGCCACAGGACACATGTCCCATTTTCCCCTCCCCATTCATAGGATTTTAGCTGGAAGACCTCTGAGATCATCTGATTCTGACGGGGAGACTGCCGTTCTGGGAGGAGAATGACCTGCCCAAGATCCCCAGTCAAGGGGGGGTTGAGGGAGCAGGGTCTGAAGAGCAGATCTTGACCCAGGGCTCTGCCTTGTGTTCCTCCACAGGCTTCAGAACAGCTACACGGCTTCCCAGAGGACCAACCAGGAGCTGGAGGACAAGCTGCACACGCTGGTAATCTGTCTGCGGTTGGGGGTGCCGGCCAAACGGCACTGTGCTCATAGCAGAGCTGGGGGCTGGGACTTGCTGGGGGAATGCCACTGGGGCTTAGGGAGGGGGGTGGGACGGCAGCGGGGAGGGGACCGCAGTGTGCTGTGCGAGTCAGGACCGTCTTAGTGCTCACACTGTTTCTCTTCTCTCCCGTCTTCCCCTCACGCTGCCGCCGTCGCTGCCGCCCTCTCCTGTCAGGCCTCTCTTAGCCACAGCTGGATCTTTGCAGTTGCGTCTGAGTTTGTGTGTTTTCTCCCTTGCCCTGGCTTCCTCCTCAGATGAGCTCTGGGGTTGCCGGGGCCCGGCCCTGTCTCTCTGCCCACTGCTTTCCTCTTCCTTACATGAGGCCCATTCGGTACATTGCCTCCTCCTTGGCTCTGGCAGAGGTACCGGTTGATGTCACCACTGAACACTCACAGCTCCGCTGCAGCAGCAACAAGCCCGAGCCATTGGTGGGGGCGGGGTGTAGATCCGTCCCTGAACTGAAGATCAGAAGGCCGCTGTCGAGCTGGCTCAACGAGATAATCTCACAGGCGCCCCCAGCTGCCTTCTAGCCCCACCCCTCCCTCTTCCTAGCTTGAGCCCGGAAGCAGCTCCACACGTAGGCTTCAGGCCCTGGGTTTGCACTTTGCACACTTACTCCTCTGTTCCGGCTGCCTCGCCTCCTGTGTAGAGCCCCTTGATGGGCAGCTCTTGTCCTGGGCCCAGGTGGCAGCAGGTCATACTCAGAAAGCCTCCACCCCACAGCCAGCCCGGAGAACAGGAGAGATGGCTGGTCTTCTTCTGTCTGTTCATCCGTCTGTCTACTTCGTCCGCCTTGGCTGCCCCCAGCACCTGTGGCTTCCTGTGTCTCTGGGCCGGGAGGAGGTGGAGGGGGGGGAAGGCAGGCTGGAGTGTGGGCAGGGTTCACACGCTTGTGTGCCTCAGATCAAGAAGGCTGAGATGGACAGGAAGACACTGGACTGGGAGATCGTGGAGCTGACCAACAAGCTGCTGGACGCCAAGAACACCATCAACAAGCTGGAGGAGCTCAACGTACGTGCGGTGGGGGCCCTCCCCACCCATGCCCCTGGCTTTGCCCTGGTCCTGGCCCTGCTGCCTGGGGCGGGGCCGGCCTCTGACCCTTGCCTGTCCCTGTAGGAGCGGTACCGGCTGGACTGCAACCTGGCTGTGCAGCTTCTCAAGTGCAACAAGTCCCACTTCCGCAACCACAAGTTCGCAGATGTGAGCACCCCCCCCCCAACCCCCACCAGCGCTAGCCCTGCCTTCTCAGAACTCCTCTGACTTGGGGTTTTACACCTCACTCTATCCTCCTGCCTTGACTCAGCCTCTCTGCCTTGCCCTGCCCTCGCCTGCACGGCTTCTCTCAAGCCAGTCAGCTCTGCCACTGGCCGGTGTCCTGTGTGCTGTCAAGAGCTTGTCATTGGGGCTGGGGGCTGGCCCTGTTGGTATTCCTGGGGCAGAGATGGAGAGAGGCACTCAATTTCGGGATCCCATGCAGGAAGGTGGGGGGTGGTCAGGGCTATCGGTCATAAGAATATTGAGGGAGGATTGGCCTAGCTGATCCCTTTACCCTAACGGGCAAACTCTAGACTCCAGAGCTTCAGGCCCAAGGTCGATGGGGCCTGTAGAAGGAGTGGAGGTACTCCTGAGGCTACTGGCCGGTACAGGTCCTCAAACTTGTGTCTGGTTGGGCAGAAGCCACTGCTGAGATGGGGGGAGATGGACATTTGAGAGCATGTGGGCCTTAGCACCAGTTCTGGGCTCAGATGCTGGCTGTGTTCATCAAAAGTTTCAAGTTATTTCACCCCTGCGGAGCCTTGGTTTATTTGTGAAATGAGGCCGTACCCCGGCATGCTGGGACACCGGGAGGTCACGGAGTGCTGAGCATGCAGTGGTGCTTGTACGTGCTGGTCATTATTTCTGCTCTGAGATTGGGGTCATTCATGTCTGTCTTTCCTTCTCCCACTCTTTTACCCCAGCTGCCCTGTGAGCTACAGGACATGGTTCGGAAACATCTGCACGGTGGTCAAGAGGCTGCCAGCCCGGGCCCTGCCGCTAGCCTGATGCCAGGGGCCGTGGTACCCACCTCAGTCATTGCCCGGGTGCTGGAGAAGCCAGAGTCTCTACTGCTTAACTCAGCCCAGTCAGGCAGTGCCGGGCGCCCCTTGGCCGAGGATGTCTTTGTGCACGTGGACATGAGTGGTGGGGGCTCGGGTGACCCAGCCAGTCCCCCGGCCCCTGGCAGTCCCACCCCACAACCCAATGGGGAATGCCGCTCCCTGGGCACTGCTGGGGGCTCCCCAGAGGAGGAGCTGCCCCTGCCAGCCTTTGAGAAACTGAGCCCCTACCCCACCCCATCCCCACCACACCCGCTGTATCCTGGCCGCAAGGTAATTGAGTTCTCTGAGGATAAGGTGCGAATCCCCCGCAACAGCCCCCTGCCCAACTGTACTTACGCCACCCGCCAGGCCATTTCCCTGAGCCTGGTGGAGGAGAGTGGTGAGCGGGCGCGCCCCAGCCCAGTGCCCAGTGGCCCTGCCTCAGCCCAGGCCTCACCCCATCACGAGTCCAGCCCTGTCCCCCCAGCACTCAGTGCCCCGGCCAGCTCTGCCAGCTCTGAGGAGGACCTGCTAGCCAGCTGGCAGCGGGCATTTGTGGACCGCACTCCACCTCCAGCCGCTGTGGCCCAGCGCACAGCCTTCGGACGTGATGCCCTCCCTGACTTGCAGCGCCATTTTGCCATTAGCCCCACTGACAGAGATGAGGAGGTTCCGGCACATTCTTCCCCACCTGGTGAGAGTGGTCTTTTGCTGCCAACAGAAGCTGATTCTGGCCTTCCCAGGGAGGAGGAGGAAGAGCTGAACCTGCCCGTCAGCCCTGAGGAAGAACGCCAGAGTCTGCTGCCCAGTGACAATGGCACAGATCAGGGGCCTGTCACTTCCCACACCGAGGGCAGGGCCTGGGCACTCCCCAGCTCCAGCCGTCCCCAGCGCAGCCCCAAGAGGATGGGGGTGCACCACCTTCACCGCAAGGACAGCCTGACGCAGGCCCAGGAGCAGGGCAACCTGCTCAACTAGGGCCCCTGCTCGCCCTCCTGCCCCCGCTGCTCTGCATCCTGTGCGGTGGGGTCAGGTGGGCCACACCAGGCCTTCTAGCTGCACTGCCTGTGACGGGCACCGGCTTGTCTCATGGCTTTTCCCTTTTCTTTGTGGAATATTTATTCCCTAAGGGTAACATGCAGCTGGGGCTCAAGACCTTTCTTCCAGTCGCCCAGATTGGGCTGTTCTGGGGTGCTGAGGGGTCCATTATATCAGTGTTCATCTTCCATCCCCCTTTCCTACCCACAAGTTTATTTTTTGTGTTTTTTATTTTTCCTGGGTTTGGGAGGGGGACGTCGTCGGGGATTATTAACCTCTAATTTCTATTTTCTGCCTGTTTTCCTCTCCCCTCAAGTCCTCTGCACAAGCTGTTGCCTTCAAGGGGCCCTTGGGGGATGAGGGATAGGACTCACTCAGGGCTCGCCTCAGCTGTGTCCATCCTCCCTCTGGAAGGGAGGAGAGGGAGGGATTCAGGGGTCAAGCTGGGCTCTAGGTGAGGCCTGGCCCCCTCCTGACCTTGGCTCTAGACTGTTACTCCCAGCTTTGGGATGTTTTCACATCAATGACTATTTTAAAATTAAAACTATTTTACTGATATGGCCTAATTTGTCCATTAATGACTTTCCTGGTGCCGTTTTTGAGCATTCCCAGTCCTGATCAAGTTCTGCTCTTTGCTAGTGAGTGTCCCCCCTGCCCCACTCTGCCTGGGATGTCCGTGGCCACAGAGCATCAGGCGGTGAGAGAAGGTGCACTTCGAGTGACATTGGCAGGGCCCCTGAGTCTCCCCTGGAGTTAGGTAGGGTCCAGCCCACCTCTGGAGGTGGGCTCTTTACCTTAGTTATGATTCTTGTGGGGGCCTGTGTAAGGTATCACCCCAGAACCCCAGGTCCTAGAAGTCAGAGACCTGTTAGATAACTGGGGCCAGTGGACGCTCCTTGGAACTTGGGCTGTGGGGTGGCACCGCCCCCTAGTGTCTAATAGTTCCAATTCCTCCCCTACTGCCAGCCCCCAGGAACCACAGCCACACACCAGGTTGTAGAGTTAATAAAATCTCTTCCGAGCCAGCGGGTTGCAGCCAGAGCTGCCAAGTCCAGAGGCATTGCCTTGGGTTCAAGTGTCCCCGAGGCTGTTGCTCAGTCAGCTTCCAGAGCTTCCCACCACTGCTGGGAGCTACCAGAGCCCCAGCCACCACCACCCTCCCTCCCAGGCCCCAGGGCCTGACCCTGATATTTGGGACAAGGTGCTGGGGACATAAGGTGTAATGATGCACAGAAGCCCAGGTGGAGAGTCACATCTCGGTCTCAGCCAACAGACTGTCACCTAGTCCTGAAGTCATGAGCACCATCTGAGAGCTGGGATCTGTGGAAGGCAGAGGGGCATTCAGAACACCATTCTTTCCCCCCACCAGGGACTCAAACCTGGTGAGAGACAGCCTAGGTTCCCCCCCCCCCCCCCCCCCCCCCCCCCCCCCCCCCCCCCCCCCCCCCGCCCAACTCTCCCTGGTCCCAGGCCTCTTCCAGATCTGGCTCTGATCACCCCTCGGGACTCTTACCGCTGGGGCATATCCAGGAGCTGCTGTTCCTTTGGTGGGCAGCAGGCTCTCGCCCTCTCTCTCGGTCCTGGGTGTCACCAGCCCCTCCCGCCACCTCCTCCTCCTCCTCCTCTCCCTCTGAGAGGAGGTCACAGATCTGTTGCTGCAGCTCTGGGCTAATGCTGTTCTCAGCCAACACCAGGCTCCGCAAAGCTGTGGGGTAATTTTCTACCATGTCCAGCAGGGTCTGAGGTGGGGAAGAATGCGGAAGAGGAGGAACACAGTTAGGGCAGCTCCTCACACTCCCGCCTGGCCCCCCTTCGGCAGGTCCACGGACACGTGAGCTCACCAGCACCCCCACCTCCAGCCCGTACCCAGACACAAAAACTTCTCACCTGAGCTGACTGGTTGGTGAGACCGGTGCCCTCCAAGTCTAGGACCTCTAAGGTGCGGCTGGAGGCCACAGCCACAGCCAGCATCCCTGCCACGTGGTCACCTGGGGAGGCAGCACCCATGCACAGTCACCTGCAGTCATGAGCAGGCCTGCTCACCCTTCCTCCCCACAGCCTCTGCAGAGTCCTAACAACCCTAGATCCCGCCCCCAGGCCAGCAAATGCTGACATTTGGTAGGTGGCCAAGAGGGGGGCACTGTGACTGGTGAGTGAACCGATGAAGCAAGCCAGGCCCAGAGGTGGTGATGGATACTTGGATGCACCTGTTGGTCATTTGGTCCTCCACACAAGAGCCTTCTCGGCTACCTTCCAAATCCCTTCTCCTTCCCTCACGGTTACCCCCATGGTTAACATGGCAAGTATCAGTCCCCAGCTCTTGGATAGGGATGGGGTGGTGAGACTCGCAGGGGGCTTCCTTGAGCCTCACCCAGGGGGTTGTAGTCCAGATTGAGGACGCGGACCTGGGAGCTGTGGGCCACGGCGATCGCGAGGCGGCTCCAGCCCTTAGGGGTGATGCCAGGGTTGGCACTCAGCGTTAGCTCCTTCAAGCCTACGCAGAATTGAAGGGAGAAACCAGGATGGAGTGTGGCCCTCTTCAAGCCCTTGTCCTATCCTGGATCTCTGGGGTTTCCCTGGTGGCAGAGAGCCACCCTGCCCCCACCACAGAGCTCTGGGGCCATTAGAGACCCATGCCTTCCTTGCCCACTGCAGCCTGGATGCCTGAGTCTCTCTCTGTTCTGCTGAGCCCCCAATCCTTCTCCTTCCTGAGAGGATTTAAACACATTCTCACTCACATTCAGAGCCTCAGCTTTGGGCCACACCCCCTGCTCTCTGCACCTGGGTTTTTCATCAAGGCCACACCAGCCCATGCCCTCAGCAGGGCCTCTTTCTCACCTGACTTGGCTCCATCTGGGGGGAGGAGGCCACAGATGAGGTTGATGGCTTCATCACCCAGCATGCAGTCCCCCAGGTCCAGAGCCACAAGGGCAGGGTGGAGGGCCAGGGCTGGGTTCAGCAAGGCCAGCCCTGCATCTGTCAGGGGACTCCCATGTAGGCTGGTGGGGGGGGGGGAGGGGGAGACCAGAGAGCAGAGGTCACCGCAGTCATCAGCCCTATCTGTAGGGGAAGGAGCCCCTTCCCTTATGAGAGCCCTAAAGGTGAGAAGGATACCTGTCATAGCAACTGGGAGAGGCCCTGGGAAGGGAGAAAGAAAATTCTAGATTCTAAAGTAATACAGGTAGAAGGGGAATTTGCTTTCTTTTCTAGGTTAGGGATTGAGATCCAGGACAGAGGACAGAGAAGGAGTGTGTGGGTGGTGGACTGGGATCCTTCAGGGGGCAAAGGTAGGGGCAGGGGTCCAGTCCCCAGGGGAGTTCCTTCTTGAGACCTCAGGAGATGCCCCCAAGAAGTCAATGCCAGTGATTAGGTGGGGAGGTACACGTGCCCTGCCAGAAAGGGGCGGGTATCCCATCTCATTTGGGGTGGGGCTGCGGGTGCAAAGCCCGGAGGTCAGGGATGTGCCAGGAGGGTGTCGTGGAGGCCCGGGCAGAGGGATGGGGAGGTGGTGTACAGGGGTGTAAAGCCAGGTTGGTGCAGAGACAGCTACAGGAAGGTGTGTGGAGGACCAGGCGGTGGCAAAGGGCGCGTGAAGAGGGGTGCAGTTCCCCGGGACCCCCTTGCGAGGGAGCGCACTCACAAGAGGGACTGGATGGAGCGGTTGGTCCGCAGCGCCTCTGCCAGCTGCTTGATGCGGCTGGGACTGGACACGACGCCTAGGTTAAGGTTGAGCTGCGCCAGGGACGTGGCCCCGGCCAGGGCCCGGCAGATGCGGCCGAAGTCGCGGTCGCAGAGGCGGCAGCCGCGCAGTGAGAGCAGGCGCACGGCGTTGTCGCGCAGGCCGCGGCAGATGTCCCGCACCTCGGCGCCTGACAGCGGTTCCCCCGAAATCTGGATGGAGCTGGGCAGCATCGTACCCACGGCTGGGCCTCCGGGGCCGGGGCGCGGGCCGCGGCCGAGGTTGGCGGGGCCGAGGGCGGGGTCGGGGCTGGGGTCGGGGCCTGGGCTGGGGTCGCGGACGGAGCGGGGGCAGAGGCGGCGGCAGAGGCGCAGGAGGCTGCGGCGGCGGCGGCGGGGGCGGGGGTGGGGGCGGCGGAGGCGGAGGCGGCGGGGGCGGCGGCGAAGAGCTTCGGGGCCCGCGGAGGTTGCGGAGGCGCCGAGGTTGCCGGCGGGGCTGAGACCGCGCGGCGCTGGGGTCGGGGCGGACCGTGCCGTCCGTGTCTGGGCGACGGTCCGGGGCCGAGCGGGCGCAGCTTCGCGCTTGTCCTCGTTCCTCGCGGTCGCGGCGGCGGCGGTTGAGGGGCCTCGGCTCAGGAGGTGCCGGGGCGGCCTCGGCTCGGAGGCCGCATCTGCTCCCTCCCTTCCTGCAGCCCGGCTCCCCTACCGCCCCGCTGGGAGAGCCCGAAGCGGGCGGGCGGGCAGCGGGTAGCCGGTGGCGGGCGGCAGCTCCGGCTCTGGCTGCGGCTCCTGCGCCTGAGCGAGCGGCGGGTTCCCATGGCAACGGTCGCGTCACTGCCACTCGTCCCGCCCCCTGCCCGGCCTAGGCCACGCGGCCCCGGGTGTGCGCGCACCGGGACTTCAGGAGCGGGTGGGACCGCTCTTCACTGGGGCGTGGGGCCGGACAACAACCCGAAAGTAGGTAGTCGGGTTGAGGCTTGGGAGGGGCAGGAGGTGTGGCAGGGAGAATGGAGTCACGTCACGTGGAAGTGGCATTGAAACTGTTACCGGCTGCTTCTACCCATTCTCCCATCGTTCCCTCTGCCTATGGGCTGGATCCTCGCTGTCGTCGCCTGCAACCCGTGCGCGCCCTCCCATCCAGTTTGGAGGCCCCCACGGCCCCGTAAACGGGGCCTCGCCCCGCCCCCCGTGACTAGCGGCGCCGCGCGCACTGGGCGGGGGGAGGGGATCCGGCAGGTGAGGACTTCCCTCTGTGCCCCTCGCCAAGATGGCTGCCCCGCAGGGGAGGCCCACGGGCAGAGGTGGCCGTGGCTGCCAGACACACGGGTACCTTGAAGGGTCCCTAGGCCAGGTGAGCTGCAAGTAGGTGCAGGGTGCTGGTGCCACTCCTTCCCCAGGTGTGACCAGTGACTGAGGCTCTCAATACCTGTGACATTGGGGTAGCCCAATTAAAGGGGGTGCTAGAATCAGCGACCTGGAGTGGTGGCAGTTGTGGTAAGCGGGCCGGAATTTTCAGGAAGGGTACACCAAAGTGTGCAAGGTGCTGTTCTGTTCGCAGTTGTCCACTTGGTGATGGTGTGGGTCCTCCGGTGACATCAGGTCACTCTGGGCAAATGAAGGGCACATCTTTCTTAGGCCCTTTACTAGGAGGGAAAGATGCTGACCCAGATTAACTCAGGTAAAGGTGTAAAAAAAAAAAAAAATATATATATATATATAAGCACGTATAAAATATATATATAAAATATATTAAAAAATATAAGCATAATGAAGGGAAGTCAAACATTCGATTTCATTAACCACCTGATTGAACTAGTTAAGTAGAGCCGATTAAATGGATGGTGGGGTGGAGGGTGCTATGCTTGGGATGCTGGTTGT